CATAATTACTCTACTTTTTACTCAAATTTACACTTTGAACACTTTATTCCTCTCTAGATACTCTATCATGAATTAAAGGAGTTCTTTTCAGGACTTCATTGTCCATCTCCATAGTTTTAACAGAAAGATATTTCAGCTTAATTAAAGCATATTCTTAACTCTCTACCTCTTCTGAAGCTTCTTTTCTTTCCTGTCACTGGTAGTTTATAAAGTCTCTTTTCATGTTGATCACTCTCTCTCTCTCTCTCTCTGGATAAAAAGATTAATCTGCAAGTCTCATCTGGGTAATGAAAGAGTTAAAATCTTGCCCAGGCTTTTTGTAGATGGTTCGGTGATCTCTGCCGAACAGGAGCTGGAGCCGTCTGCAATGGAAGGTTCTTAATTGCTGCTCTAAAGAGTGTAGTCCCTGCTTCAGCCCGCTGCAAGTCCAGGGCCTCTCTCCTTCTTCACTCGGCAGTTTCTAGTGAATTCGCGCTCCCTCCTGCGGTTCCCGAGCGCCAGCAGAAAGTTGGTTTCCCTGAAGAACCGCTGTTTGCGGGCCCCACGCCATCCTCTCTGCTTGAGTCGTCTGGAAGTACACGAAGTGCGGTCTGAGCAGAGCTCTTCAGTGTTTGAAATGCCACCACAGCTTAAGGACGGGGTGGGAAGGCAAAGGAGGGAAATGCCCCTGAATGACTTGAGAGCTCTGGTGACAGGAATACCCAGTGATACAATATACCTGACCAAGCATCACTTGTCAGATATCAACTCAAGAAGCCGTCCCCAGGCATAAGAAGGGCTGTTGTATTTCATATCACAGGTTTGTCTTTTTTTAAAAAGCGTACACCAGCATCGTGTATCAAAACCAAGTTTCCTTGACTCAGCTCCTGATGTGGAGAGCAAGTCTTTGTACTGAAACATCCAATGACTCCAGAAAAACAGGAAGGACAGAGATGCTTAAATTGGTAAAGTCACATAACCAGTCCTATCAAGCTTATTTAAGGATAAATATTGTAATTTCATAAAATATTTCTGTTTAGGATCACAAATCAATATAAATATCTAGAGTCAACATTCTATTGCCTTTGCCACGTGGACAGGCAGCTGAATGTTAGCTTTATAATCCTTGCCCTTCTCTTTGTGTTAGAATGTTTATATCTTCTTCACTGCCTCCTTTCAAAGGAGAAAAAGAAACAGTGGAGTGATTGGGAGAAATGTAGAAATCAAATGTTCTTGCATTTTAAATGACAAAAGTTTCTGCAATTGCTAAGTGTGACCTTTTGTCCAGCTTGAAAATCTAATAGAGGCAAGTATATGTGAGAAATGAATCTTTACTTGGCAGGAGCCTTCAGCTCAAAGAAGATAGACAAAACAGTGCTAAAAGGAATGGAGAGAACTGACAGCTTGTCAGACTTTTGAATGTTTTGTGTAAATCTGTCCTTTTGGAAGACATCGGTATTTTCTTGGTTGAGGATCAAACAATCCCCTAATTTCCCTCCATTGGCAATAAGCCACAGTGCTGCAGCCCTAATTTACTGGAGTGGGTTTTAATTACAAGTGGAGTCTATAAAATTTATACTTCCATTCTTCTGCATAAACCAAATAAAAGTTCAAGCTGAAGATTTCATGAGATGATGACTATATCATTAAATTAATTAGAAAAGTTGGAAAATTATGATTCTTATTCAAATTTGCATTAAATGTTCACTGTCCCTCTCCTATGGACTAAATGAAACCTGTTTACTATCAATTTTATTTTGAAAGGAAAAAAAAATTCAAACAAAGAAAAAGGGAAATCCTGATATCAATAGCAAAGCCCAAACCACAGTGCTACCTCCCACCCATGCTGAAAAATGTTTGCAATATGGCATGCAGAGCTGCACAGCGGGGAGAGGGTGAAGGGAACTTAAATCAGAATTGACCGACACATGGCTGAGATTAGAAATAGAAATGAAATTTCCCAGCCAAGAGAAACCACAATAGCACACATATTGTAAAATGAAGGAGGAACTTTCTACACTTAACTTTCTACAGCTTAGCCACAATCTCAGCTTTCTTTAGTGCTCTGGAGCAGAGAAAATAATCAGAACCATTCTGAAAGCTGTTCCTGACCTGGAAGGAAAACAAGGAAATATATGTGCTAGACAGTGAATCAGTATCTATGTGTCCTTGTCCTTATACAATACAGATAATTCTCTACACCGACTTTAAAGATACTGTGGCCTTTCTCCAAAACTAGTACTATGTCATTGCCTTGGCTTTCTTCTCTCACTAGTCCACAGGCAGATTTAGTGGGATAAAAATAGAGGAAATTGACATAAGCAATTTTAGTATAATTTATTTGATATCAGAAGATGAATGTGTTTTAAGAATTTTCTTTGTATTTTTTTCCTGCACAATGCAAATACTGTTTCTGGGCTTACATGTAAACCAGAGGGGTGTTGTTATTCAAGGAAATACATTTTTCAAATAAAGATTTTGCATGAGTACTCAGTGATATTTGCATTACTACTCAGTGATATTGTGGATGTTGTTATCATGAGGTAAAATGGAGCATGTGCTCTGATGTTTGCACTGCCTTCAAGAAAGATAAATGTATTGGTGAAGTGTTAAAAGGCTGCAGTATTCTCCAGGGGTCTGCTACTTCCAAACCTGGTGTTTACAGCATGAGGTTCAGAATTTGGTTTTTAATTAAAAGAATTTCTTTCCACATCCACACTGTCTCTGACCAGCACAGACATTCATTTTAAGGTTGTGTTCTGTTTGTTTGCTACCTGTAGGGTGTGTTCTGCCTCTGTGGGAGGGCAGATTCCTCCTTTACTGCCTGGCAACCAGCCATGTAGACTGGCCAAACCTACACCACCAGAGCATTTTCCACTCCATGTCAGTGTTTTCCCCTCCCTTTGCAGAAGTTGATATGGCACTGGGATAGTTTACTTTGGCTATGTTGCAGCAAAGAATGGCATGTTCTGTATCTGTGCTGATAGGACTTCAAGAGAGCTAAGTTATCAAGTTAATACAATTTCTTTTTCCCCCAGGCAAAAGTGTAGGTTGCTCATGGCTAGAACGTGCAGCTCTGTCTTTTGTCACTGGCTCACAAGCAGGTTAGACCTTACTGTCACACTCACGTGTATTGCTGTGTAGAAGCAGTGGATTCATCCCAGTACCTCTCACATGTCATCAACAAACCTGTGGAACGAAAGATCCATCAGAACTGGGGAGCTGAAGATAGGAATCACTGTGGCAGTTTTGCCCTCCTCTTCATCATCCAGTCAACCTGATCTCATTGTACCCTCTCCTTCCCCACCTGCTTGAAGCATAAAAATCTCTATTCCAGCATAACCCAACCTTCCACCAATTTGGGTCTAGAAACCAATTTTCCTACATTTTTTCTGCTGGTAGGAGAATGCAGGAATTCAGTTCTTTTCAATTGCTGATACATGGGGGTTTTGTTTCTACTCTTTACCTTAGTTTTGATCCCTGATCAAGCATGTTGTTCATTACTTTTTGCAGATGTACATAACAGAATGGGCCCATTTGCTATTAGCTACAAAAGGCAAAAGTCCCCAGGGTCCAAACTCTCCTGTTAAATTGAGACCTGACATTTCAAAAAAAAGGGGCGGGCCATATGTTGGGGAACCCACACTCAACCCCACAGAAAAGGTGAAAGCATAAGAGCAGAGACCTTTCTGCACTTGATACCACCCATCCTCTCTGCTGTATAAAGGCTGATGCCAGCCATTCCAGCAGGGAGCTATTTCTTACTTTTGCTCTTGGATGTCACCTGGCCATGCTTCAGGGGGCACACCTTCTGCTTGCCACTACCAAACAGGGACTGGGGCTGGCCAATACAGCCTGTGCTCCTACCAAGCAAATCTGTCGGTGCTCAGGCCCACCCTGGCCTGCAAGACACATCAGTGGGAAAGTGAAAGATGGCTAAGGGTGAGCAGAGGTTGCTCAGCTCTCACTCAGAAGTTTCCTTGCTAAGGCAATCAAAAAGCCTCCCAGATGCAGGGCTTACCTTCACCCTCCTTCCAAATCTAGGGAGATGGCTCTTACAGGGAGAGCCACCAGCTCACTCACCCTTTGCCACTCTAGCCCACACATGTCTAACCCTTGATAATTGCAAACCCTCAGCTCTTATCTTATCCTACACACACCTCATCCTCTTTATCCCTCCCACTGACCTCTCACAGTCCCTTTGTTTGACCTTTCTGGGCAACAGTGGTATGTTACCATGTTCAGTTAAAGCTATTTTATCTCTCAAAATTGTCCCTTTCTTGGGGGAAAGAAAAACAGCCCCCTGGGGAATCCCTTTGCTCTATTTATGCAGTGAGGTGCTAACACCAGCCTGCAGAAGTGTGATATCTCAGGAGATTATGCAGAAAGAAAAGAAGCCAACTCCTTCATTTTATCCCTTGAAAGAAGATCACTTCTTGTAACAATAATTAAGATCAAGGCACATTCCTGGGGAAGGTGGGGGGGTGGGGGGAGAGGAGGAAGTAAAAAAGGAAAAAACCCTAAAATCTCTTTGAGGTACTATACTGTGCTCTATAGCAGTGTATTTACAGCTGTAGCTCACTTTGCTTCAACAGCCAGTCCTTGGGAAGGGCTGGGCAGATGTTGCACTAATCAGGGAGCTTCAGCTTCTCCTCTTACCCCTTTGCTATGCGATTTAGTCTGCAACATATTTAGACTTTCCTTCCATGTACTGCCCCAGGTACAGCCTTTAGCCTTTCAGCATAGTAACAGCAACACCAGTACCCTGAAACACACAGAGCCATGAGCATGGTGACCTGGCCAGCTCACATCATTTGAAGTGGCAGGGGGTTATGACATTTTTTTGGCAGGAAAGCCTGTCATTTGTCCCATTTTCTCATTATTATTATAGCATAATGTTTAGAGTATAAAGGAAGTCCTCTGCTTTCCCAGTGGTGGGTCACACTATAAATACCCCAGATGGCACAGGACAAGGAGGGCTGTAAAACTCAGGATGTGGGTCACAGGATGGCTGTCTGCTTGCTGTCTGGGGAAACATGATAATAAACTCTTGCAAAGAGCTCTGATAACACCACATGAAAGGAGTACAAACACTGTGGAGGAGATCTTCGGCTGCTGTAAAATGTCACTACTCTCTTCAGTTCCGATATGCTGCTTTTCTTATTTCCTTCCCTTCTCAGCCTCCTCCTGAGTGCCTGGGGTTGAAAAGTATCCACAAACTGTTTTTTGCCTTCTGCATTACTTTTCAGCTCCTTTTCCCTCTCATGGACATGCCCATGTTCCTGCAACATCCTCCATACGCTATGAAGCTCTCATACAATTCTGACACTTAAGCCAATGGTCCTCTGAAGAATATCAGCACCAGGCCAAAAATACAGAGCCCTTTTTCCTGCACGCAAGAGTCACAGGCACAGCGGGGAGAGCTGTGTCAGGACAGTCAAACAGAGGCCACCAGGTTCCTGAGACAGATTTTAAACAGAAACATTCCTTATGTAAAAATCATCCTTTATTCTCCTGGAGAAGTTAAAAACAAAATTCAGGAATTTTGTCAACTCCTGCAATAAGAGGATGTTCACTGAGAACATTGTGTCTTTTACTGCAGTTTTATTATCAAAATATTATTTGCTACATCACTGGTGTTTTAATAATCCTGGGATAATGTTTTGGTAAGATTTAGAAAGACTATTTGAAAGGAGTGGGAATAACGAAACAATGGTGGATTGATTTGAAACCTTCTGAAATGGTCTTTATAATCTTCCTTTCTCCTCCCACCCCAAAAGCAGTTATTCACGGTTTTGATCTGAGTACCTTAATATTCCCTCCCATCATGAGCCTTTCAAGCCAGCAAATCCTGGTGTGGACACGGCTCTATGGAGTGTCTATTCCAGCTGAAGTTCAGCGGTTGGTAAATGTTGGGGACTGAATTTTTATCTGTACAGTTTTGTTAATGGTTTAGAAATTACACTGCTTTAGCTGCGCAAGTGAAGCAGTGTAGTTTTGTAATGTAAGTCCACATTTCACCCAGGGTTAAAAGGTGCAACTCATGTCTCTGAGGAAAAGCAGATTTATTTCTTTTTCATTCTCCTTTCCCCTGAGATAGGAGCTGCCCTCTGCTGCTGAATCAGCAGGATGTGCCCCGTGACACTGACTTTAGCTGGCTGGAGAGCTGTTAATGGGTCTGAAATCCATCCTCTACCCCAGCCTTTCACACAGGAGAGGCAGGGAGCCGAGCGAACAGCATGGGAGAGGGAAGCAGAGACCCCTGATACACACAGCTGTTATCTGTGATAAGCTGCATCCTGTGCCATGCTCCACCTCGCTGCAGCAGGGAAGGCGTTTGAACTCCAAGACCCTTTCTCAGTTCAATCCCTATCTGACAAACACACAGCAGGCAGCTGGAGGAAAAAAAAAGCAAAGTTCAACCTATCCCAAATGACTCAGTATTTAAGATTTCTGACCAATTTCCTAATACTCTGCCCTGCGGAATTTTTTAGGCAGTGTCAGTATATTTGAATGATATAAATAAGTGAAGAAGTTCATAATAGCTGTGCGGTGGTGATGAAAAGAGATCAAGCTGAGATGGGAGTAAAAAACCTCAAATATGTGCAGGAAGAGCAGTAAAAAAGCCAAAAACGGGCTGTTTTCAGGGGAGCGTCTTGTTTGGAATGGCCGCAGCTGAGCTCAGGTTTCCCATCAGCCACAAACCCACTCTCGGGTGACACAGACAAAAGTCATGGCTATGATGTGTGTCTGTCTCAGCTTGGTGTCATCTCTGTCATGTGCCACTGTCCCGACCCCTCCTCAGGTGTTTCCCAGCCCTAAGCCAAGCCCGGGAAAGAAGAGCCGTGTTTCCCACACCCGGCCGTGCCGTCCGGGAGGCCACACGCCGCTGCTGTGGGGGAAGGCTGCCACCGCGCCTGGCCACCTGTTTGTTTCTTTTCCGCAGAAGATTGCTCGTCAGTGAAAACTCATTTCGTTTTTGTTTTCATCGTATTGGTGCTCTCGTCTGGGGACAGCTGCCATGAAAACAGGCTGAGGCAGGAAAGGTTAGCGGGAGCATTCAGAGACAGGCTGGGAAGGGTGGCAGGGAGGTGGAATAGATAGGAGTGGTTGGGTCCAAATCCTGTTGAACTGGAGCAAGGGCAGATAAGGTGTGTTGGCTTGAAGGCTGCTGTGACATACTATTAGAAGTATCATTTGGCAGACCTGGATAGGGCAAAGAATTCAGAAAACCTTTCAATGGGGCTCACACTTCCTTGGATTTGCCTGTGAGGCATGTGTCATAGAATCAGAGAATACCCAGAGTTGTACGGAACTCACAAGAATCATTAAAGTCTGTCTCCTGCCCCTGCACAAGACCACCCCAAGAACCTCACCATGTGCCAGTTATGTCCATCCTGAACCAGTTCCATAGGATAGACCTGCCTGGCATGATGTAGCTGACCTCAGCAGCTCCCATCAGGTCTGCAGAGGCACCCAATACAGCACCTGGTGTTCTGTTTCCAGGTGGCCAATCCATCTACTGCCATCAACCAGTTTATCCTTCCAGCATCCCTGAGACATGTGGGTTCTGTTTCAGCAGATTCCCCAAAGGCAGGGGGACCCGCAACTACACTGTAAGAGGATTTCCCGGGATTTAGGAAGTGATCACAACACGCACGAAATTTCTCAGCAATGTCACCACGTTCACCAGTTACCACTGGCCTTTGAAAACTTCTGTGTCTGCTTCACTGACATGCACTCTTGGTTCTGAACAAAATGCCTCTACTCTCACTTTGGCCAAAACAGCATCATCAACATTTGACCCTGCAGTAAACTCCTTAAGAGCATCCTACTTGCCATCCCTCCCATAGCTATCCCTCCCATATCCATCCCTCCCCGCCCTTGGTATCATGTCTGGTTTTATCTCATTGACACCTTGCACTCTGGCCAAAACCCTGTGTTTTTATTTCTTTCCTACATCAGCCTGCACCAGCTAATAGCCTATACAGACACACTTTCTCCTAGTGTTAATGATTTTTTATTTTTATATTTTTAATACAAAATAGGATTATTTTAGAAGGAAAGAAAGACATTCCCTGAAATTTAAATAAAAAGGAATAAAAGTGGATGCATAGCAGCCACACTCTTCTCTGTCTGGTACAAACTCAAATTATGAGGTTGGACTTAGATACTTCAGGCTACTGGACTCTTCTGCCAAGGGAGAATATTTTACATTAACATTTTTAATTAATGTTTCAAAAGACATGAGGTTTATTCCAATGATGGTTTTCATGGAAGCAGAGCAATAAGATACTGTTTTCAAAATTGCTTTAAGCACAGTTTCTTCCCACTTGCCAAACTTAGCAGCCAGAGCTCCATAGCTTTTTTTCATTCCAACCATCCTGTATTCTAGTCCCAAACATGTTAACTCATAATCCCATTTAATTTTGATACCGTGACTGAACTGTCCCATCCCAATCCTGTGGTTTCAGACCCAGCATAGGCAAATTTGACATTTCACACTTGTATGGAAAATAGCTTGAGGGCTAAAAAGTCTATGGAGGTTGGCTTTGTTCTTGATTGTTGATTGGGTGGAGATGGCTAAAGAATAGCTGGGAAGGGATTAGGCATGTTAGCTTCATGCTGGATGAGGAAAACTGTGTTTTAGCATTTCTTTCATGGGGAGCTGGGTTCCAGGATGACTGGGAACACCCACTGAATGGAATAATTAATTGTTCAGCTGCTCATTAACCTCATCCAACACTTACACATCTTTTCTCAAAGTTTGAAAGAGCTGTTGCCAAATCAACACCATTTTTTCCTGAAATCCGTCTCAATTCCAAGTCCAGCTTAGATTTTCTCCAACCTTTGAACTCAGTGAACCTTGTTTATGGGGACAGGGACATTTATATTGAAACATGTCACAAGATGAGTTTGGAGAAAGGAAACGGAATGTTTCAAGAGTGCAGTAGCATGGAGGTAATTATTTCACCCTTGATTTTGATGTAAACACATTTGGTGAACATGACAATGGGTTTTGTGTGCTTCCCATCTTATAAAGTGGTGAAGCATTTTGAGATCTGAAGGTAGGAAAATGTTGTACCAGCACTACATATTTATGACTGTTTTCACTACTGTTTCTCATCTGTTCTTAAAATGTTTGTTTATCCAACTGTCTACCCATCTTCTCTTTCCTGGGAGATTTGCAAATGCCTTGCTCTGCCTCTTTCTCTGTAGAGACACAAAAGGCAGACAGCACCATCACACTGTCGGCACTGTGTCAGCCTTGACTTGTTACAATGCCTTGGAATTCACACAGCAAGTCACACAGCATGGCATAACATTTCTTACCTATGCTGATCCTTTTGGAATTACAGGAGATGGAGGGCAAGCAATCCAGATCTACCTGGCTAGGAAGAAACACATGGCAACTGCACTTTTGTCTGCCTTTCTCCCCTCAGCTTTTAATACTGCCTTTGATAAAGTAGGATAGTCACATGAAAGATATTGAAGAGGGAGAAAATTCACTGTCATGATAGCAGGGGGAAAAAAAGCAAAACAAAAAACCAGAAAAGGTTACAAGTCCTGCAAAAAGAAGCTACTCTTGTTTCAAATGAATAATGTATTGGTCTCTCTGCAGGTCTGCAGAAGTATGTATCTGACTTTTTTTACTGAACTGACCACAATCAGAGCACAGGTTGCCCTAGAGGGAAATGCCTGCCCAACCTCCAAATAAATATTTCTCAAATTAAGTCTTTTTTTTTTTTTTCTGAGAAAAACACAAAATCCAGCCTGATAGAAATCTGCATCTGATGGAAAGACCCAAGCAGCCCCCTTCTGCTTGGAGCCAGGAAGGGGTGAAACCTCTTTAGGGATAACCCCTGCTTCCTCAGGCACATCTTCCTGCTCCCACTGTACTAAAGGCCAGGTCTGAGTCCAGCAGCTGCAAATCTGACCCTACGGCCACTTCCCAGCACCTGCAGGCTGCTTCCTGCAGAGCCAAGCCAGCTGCTTTCTCGGGTCTCTAAAGGGCATGGATTTTTCTTGCACTGTTTTTCTGCACAGATTTATTTGCACAAAATGAGTGTTCTTTGAACTCAGTTTCTTTTTCTTTTTAAGATCAAAAGCCTAGTGCCCTTTATTGCAGCTGTGTCTGTTGCTTTGCATATAAGCCAGTCTTAAAAATATACACAAACAAGCTTTGGGGGGCTCTCCTTTACTGCAGTGCAAGAGGCTTTAGGGAAAACATGTATCAGTGAAAACTAAATTCAAAAGAATAGACTTTAGCATAAAGCTAAAACCCTGAAACATAATTTGGGATGATAAATATTCAAGCATACCTTACATTAGGTATCTAAATCAGAACCTTTTTTGAGTTCCTCTTTTATTTCCCACATTTTAGCCCTCATAAAATTGGTAAAGAGAGGCAATGCTCATACAGACAGGGTCAAAGTAATTCTTTTCCTATCTCTTTCAAACAGGGCTTTTTACAAATGAACAGTAAGATTTTGAAGAAGCCATCTATAGGAAGAAAGTGATATATATGAGTATTTCTTTTCACCTTGATCTAATAAGTGATCAGTTATGTTCTGTAAATTTGTCCTACAGATTGTTAGTGTAGAACAGAAATCTATCAATTCAGTATTAAGAGACTTGCTATTCATATTAAGCAAGAGACACAATCACTTTTTGACTGTGGACTTAGTTCAGTACAACTCTTGGTGTCAGTCTAATCTCAGTGAATGTCTAGAGGAAGATGTAGAGGATTCTCTGCAGTCCTTCTAGGTCTTCAAAATACACCAGTCCTTGGCTTATTAGCTTTGAACCCTATGTGGAGAAATGTTTTTAGATCTTACATAAAGTGCTATTTTGGAGAGATCTAGCAAGTCTACTCATTATTTGGGTTGAACAGTTTTCTCTTTTATAAATCCCCAGTTTTCCTGTTTGTGATTTTGACAAAGTTTTAAAAATGTTTTAGCAGGAGATTTTCCATGACATCCAGCTTAAGCTACTTTCAAGATCCAAATTAATGATCAAAAAATGCTGTTTTTTTCTTGGCCTGAAACTCTTGAGGGGTCTTTCTTGTATGGGCAGTGGGATGACTGATAGTTCTTCCATTCTTTGGAAAGGGCTCGCAATGTGGCAAAAAAACTGACTATAGTGCAGCGGATGGAGAAAAAGAACTGCCTTTGAAAGACAGAGCAGTTTTTAAGATACATTTAAACTGTGATTTTAGAACCTCACAGAGTCTGTATTCTCTGAGCACCAACAGAAGGGAAGCACATATTGCAGCCAAGGACAGGGACAAAAAGGACAGTACTGCCCCAAAAAGATGGACTGTCCCTGTTCCGCTGCCCCAGATGATGCAGGGCACTTCATTCAAGCAGTCTTTGAAGAGACGGGTGCTACCACTAAAAGCCAGTGAGTGGTAGCTGTACTTAGGGCAGATGAGGCGCCAGGCTTAAAAATCCTAAAAAATCAGGAATGAGGCACATCAAACAGAAAAATCAATTTTCTGGCAAGCTCTGGCTGTCATGATTTATATTGGTGAGTACAGATGGGATCTTCATTCATGGAGATGTTAATTACACAGAACCATGTGTTTCTGTGGAGGGCAGTGATGACTCCTCCAGAAGGACAATATGGTTGTGTCATTCAAAGTTCCAAAACTGAGCATAATGACTTTATTTCTGGTATTTCCTGACTTTTAAATCCTTATCTTGGCAACCTTTGGATCGTTCATCTAATTGAAATTTTTTGTGCTATAATACAACTCTGACAGGCTGCAATGCTAACTACTAGGCAGGCTTCTTAATCTCTTTCTAGCTTTACTGTTCCAACACAGAAAAAACCCAGCCCTGAAACTGGCTTATGAAATATGATTGATCTAAAACTACAGTTTTCAGTCATCAGATTCCTGGAATAACTGCTATGGAGTTTGTCCAAGGTAACTGCCTGATGTCAGTTAGCTTGCATTTGAAATTCAGGTTCTTCCCCTGTACTACACAGTTCTTGGTTTGCAAATGAAAAGCATGGATTTGAAGCACCAAGGCTGATTTTCCTGATGTTCTATTGCTATTCTATTTTCCAGTTCTATTGCTGATGGCTTACCAGTGGGGTTTAACTACATATATTAATGTTACCATGTGACTAGAACAGAATAAACTTTTTGGAATAAAGATCATGTTTGTATGGTTTAACTTTTTTTTTTTTTTTCTCTTTGTGAATCGACCACAAGCAAGTTATGACTATTCAAAATATTTTTGCTTAATCAGAATTACTCAGTGAATAACTCCCTCGTCAAAAGCAATTTAAGAGCAACCTATATTTAATATGCTATTTAGACATTGAATGAGTTGAATAAATTCATGACTCATAAGGGTGGTTTTGCACCTTTTTCTCCCCCTGTGCAAGTAAAATTTAGTTTCAGGTTTTGTGCAAGATCACTTCCATTGCTCAAGTCCAGAATTTCCTTTTTCTGTGAATGTTTCCAAATGTTACTTAAAAATCTACTGCTTGGCATAAACAATAGATGCTGTGAAATTCAATGTGCACTTGGACACCTGCAGGGGCTCTGGAAAACAGCTCCTGATTGGTGTTTTGCTGGACAAGTATGAACAACTTAAGGCAGTAAATGCTTTACTTCACACTTCCTTTTTTTAAAAAGCCAACAAACTTTTTTGGCCTGTATGATATCCCTAAGCAAAAATGTGAAAGAGTGTTTCCAGAAAATCATTCTAGAAGCATCCAAAGATCTGGTCAGGGAAATTGCTTGGTTGTATACAGGATACCCTCTGAAAGAGCTGTGTGTCACATGTAGGTCACTGCAGCATATCAGATCTGAGAGAGAAAAATACAACACCACATCATAATTAAAACAAGTAACAGTTTCCCTTGTTCACTTCTATAGGTCTCTTAACTCCTGGCTGTCATGGATTTTGACCAGCTCCAACATGTCTGATACTAAGCTGTACATTACTCACTGGCTTTGTTAATCACATTATATCCTTTTATGAATTTTGATAGATAAATCTCATAAAAAATTAGGAGTTTCCATATATTTTTAAATAAAATAACTTACTTGTCATTTAACAACAAATATAAAGGGTTCAGTGGAAACACAGGAAGTTTTACTCAACTGTTTTGCACTCTAGACATAAAGGCTAATAGGCATAAACTGTTTTTAGGGGAGAGGGAAGGGGACTAGAAGAGTTTTGGTCTGTCCTCAGGATTTCCCCACCTGGATCCAGTTGTTGTATTGTTTCTGCCGATACAGACAGCACTGTACACAGCTGTGCTGTTTGTGTTCTGCCTCACGGGCAACTGTGACTTGAAGGTTGCAATTAGGCTTGAATCAGGGCCTGTGGAGGGACTTCACCTCAGCTGGGTCCAATCAGCACTCTGGCTCCCTTGGTAGGCAAAAAAATGACTGGTTCATGGGAGAGCTTGTTGTTCTGGACACCCATTTAGGATGAGACATGCTCAAGACTCCACTGCTCACACTGACCAGGTCCCTGCTTGCTATTATTGTTTATTATTGCCATTATTATTTATTATGCCATACCCAGATGTCACACATGTCTCTTGCACTGTAGCTGCCATAGCCACTTGCACTAGAGCTGCAGCTCCACTTGCTAATCTTGCTGGGCTGTACTTGCAAGTCTGGCTGAAAAGTCACTCCAAGTGTAGAAGGTGTCTATAGGGCCTCAGCATTTGGCTGTTGTTCTGAGAGACAGGAGAGCTACACTGGGGAGGCAGTGAGCAGTGGGAGCTGGGACTGCCCTGTTCCTTGCCAGCTCCCCCAGACCTGCGGGAGCGCACAGGAGAGCAGAAGGAACAGAGGGGTGTGCAGAGCACCACAACAACCCCAGTGCAGTTTCATCTTGTTGAGACATCTCCTGGGATATCAGCAGGTAAGATCGGAGGTTGAATTCCTTCTCTTCCAGATATGTGAGCATTTCCATACTAAACTGCTCTCACTCCAAAAACCTTGCTCACATGCACTTCTCCCCATAATTCAGATTATTCTTTCCTCTGTAAATCACATGCACTATAGAGCTCCATTTATGAAAACAAGACCTATGACAAAACCCTCCTAACACCAGTAAATCTTCTTTTAATGAATTGGACTTGTAGCTTCAATTATGAAGCTGGGATGTGACGGCTGCTGAGTGAGCCATGCCAACAACAACACTGAGGCAGATCACTGTCATAAGGGTGTTAGGAGAGAGTCTTGGGAAAGACTTGGACGCTCCCTCTTTCCCTTCAAGCACTTTCACATCTGCACTGCATTATATCCCCATCCAGATGACTTTGCTGGGATCTCCAGTGTTCTTGGGAGTATTTACATTATAAGGAAAAAACCCACTAATTTATTTGTTCAGTCTTTCACATAAATATACCCATAGTCTAGTGTGAAACAGCTCACATTTATCTGGTCTGCTTTGTTTTCAAATGCACCTAGCTTGGATTTTCAGTTGTACAGTGTGTGTATACAATTAAACCCTTTAATTACATTGTAAACCCTTTGGATTTTTACCCTGTTTCTGTGTGCTTCACGCCATAAGACACTACTCTCCTTCAGTATAACCAGGAATGAAGCACTTTTAGGTATCTGTAGGAGCTGGATGGACCACTTACAGGGAGGGACAGGTGATGTGAGAAGGATGAAGGTGCTATTTCTATCCTCTCCCTTGGGAAGTACATTTGGGCCATGCATAAGACAGGGTGCTTCCAAGCCCAGTTTTCTCTTTAGCAGTGAGAAATTGTCAGTGGAACGACATGTGATAGGTGGCCTTGGGAATGGAGAGAGGCAAAGCATGAAGCAAATATTCATCCTAAAACCCTCCTGCCCTTATCCATGACCAGTGTGACAATAAAGGCACTGGGGTGGAGGGATCAGATTGCCTCAGATCTTGCTTTGTGCAGGACCTCAGATTTCCATCTTTTATGTAGACATCAGGATGACTTTTCACCCATTATTGTCGTATTGACACCAGTAACAAGCTTTTCCTGCTACCTCCTTCTTCTATTAGCCTCACAGAGTAGGTCTTGAGCCATCTTGGTACTGTAGTAAAACTCAGTATTGCAGAGGACCTCTTTGACTCCATCTTAAATTTTGAAAGTCTGTGTTTGTCCTGTTCTCTATCTTCCTGTACCAATCTGGGTCATGTTGATTTAGTGATGGAAGATCCCTTGGTTGAGAAATGGGAGAATATTAAAACAATGTTTCACTTACCGGAATGCTTGGCCAAGAGACACATGTTCCTGTGGATTTTCATCACTTGAAGTGGATGCTGGTCTAGTAGAGCTACTGCAGCACATAGGTACTCTTCTGGACTGCAAGTTTGCTAAAGAGAGATCTCTGAGCACTGAGGAGAGCTATGAAAGCTTTTCCATGTTGCATCATGTGTTGTTCCATATTCTTTCCTTAAGTTTCATGGTTTATTCCTACTGGTAAGGAGGAAAATATATTGAAAGTATGAACATTTCCAACACATTCATCTGAAACTGGGCTTTGTTCAGTGCTAATGATCCAACTTTGTTATTTCTTTTGTTTCAGTTAAGGGGAAATTTCAAAAAGCTTGGGGAGTACTTAGCTGCAGACTTTGTGGTTTTCTTATTAAAACAAGAAAATATGTATTTTACTGGGTTGCAGCTAACACATATTCTCATGCATTCCCTTACTTTCAAAATATTGTGATGAAAACAGAACACATCCTACACGAAATGTCTGTTCTGCTCAACCCTACCTCAATCCTGAATTAATGCACAGCATGCTTGGCAGGGGAGGGGTGTCTGTGCAGGAACTGTGTGCACAGTTGCTGGAAGAAAGGTAACAGTTGTCACCTGTGTGACTGAACCCAAGCTCAGGAGCAAGGCTGCAGATGTTTCAGCTTCTGAAGGACCACAGCATTTTGGGGTGCTGCAGAGGAGGGATGTGTAGGTGTGCATTTGCTATTTTGGTGACTGCCGTGTGACATCTATGGCACTTGGGAATTTGAGGACGAGTGTTTCCCCTGATAGCCCAATTTTGGGAAACCAGCTGAGGGCACATCAGTAAGGTCAGGCATTACTCATGAGTCAAAAATGAGTAATTCTTTATCTAGATATCAAACTGTAAATGTTCTGGTCTGGAAAATCATTTTGCCAGTATACACCAACCCCATGTACTTGTGGTCAGCTGCATAGCCCAGAAGGAGATTTCAAGGAAGGGTGTGGTTGAGAAAGCAAAAGACCGTAGGATTGCAGCCAGTTTTAGTCAGAGGAACTGCTTTGTTATTGTATTACAGCTACACAGTGTTTTTAAGTACAAACTCTGCTTCAGACCCAGGCTGAAACGGGTGCCACAGAGGTTTGTATGGCAAAACAAATTACAAATCCCTCATGACATACTGTTTGAAAGTCCGTTGGAAGCATTGTTTGGGCAGCAGCAGGACTCTTTTCAAACCCAACTCGGGTTGCAGCTCTTATTTCTAAAGGTACAGCTATACAAACAAGGGACTGTGGGGACATGCATGTACATCACATCATGTTTTCCACAGCAAGATCCCATTCACAGCCTATGATAAGTGAAAAGTTCCCTAACCATAAAGGGAAATTTGCTCCAAGCAAGCGGATGAAGTTGCCACTAGTAGCTACACTGACACTGTAAATTCACACTTCTACTTCATTCAGAAATATCTGTAGCTGTACCCTGTATTACTAAAGCACTTGTCAGAGGTGAGGCGGTGCAAGAAGCAGCTGTGCAGGAGGTACTTGCAAAGTGCTAGGGGTGTTGGAAATGAATACAGCTACTTGTGCTGTCAATGGGAGAAGGGAAGTGTCTCTTTACACACCTATGTGTTACAGTGTTATCTGCCTCCTCCATCCATTGCCTGGGAAATTCTAGTTAGTAAGATGTTTTCTATGTGAATCCCAATCTAAACTCTCACAGTTACAAGGAGAAGGGCTGAATTTGCTGCCTGCTGCATTGGACACAATGAAGCGCAGAAGTGCTGCTGTAGGTACTTGCAGCATCACAGGAAAACAGCTCCTGCATTTCTGACGAGCTCTTATGGGCACAGCATAGCCTGGGCTGGTGGAAGGCCCATCTCAGTGTGTGGAGGGGCCATAGACTCAGTGTAGACTTAATTTTATGGACTTTATTCACAGACTTCATTTTACCTGTTACTCTTCTTTATACAAGCAAAAGGAAAATAGTGAGTCAATGAGACAAGGATTGTATTTGAAGTCTACCCATATTTCCCCTCCAGCTAGAATTTCAAGTGCCTCTAATTCCCCAAATTAGTGACAAGGTTAAATACTGCCAGAGAAATATGGGCTAAGGTTGGAGCTCCAGCCAGCCAATATCTAGGTAATAATTTAAAATGTATTATTCATGAATGCTTTATTACTGTTCACATTAAATTAGAATTCTTCCAGTACCAGTGTTCCTGCTTCACATGAGTAGTGTTTAATATTAGCTGCTGTTTGGCCCTTTTCAGCCAAATAAAATCAGTCTTAGTTAATTCTGTCTTGCTTAGATCAGCAAACATGGAACTTAATGAACTCCCCTTGCTCTGTGACTTATCTTGCCAAGGTGGGAGGGGGAATGTACCACCACAAAGCATTCCACAGCACTTTCCTTTGACAGCACACCATCCAGCTTGTGCAAGGACCATGACAGTGCTACAGGATGCTCCATCTGCCACCTCCTCTGTCTGCCAGCACAGGCCTTCCTCAACACAGCTGCTTTGGGAGGGAAATCCAGCAGTGCAGTGGGTCCTACAGTTAGTCTGCTTCCCAGAAAGACTCAATGAGGGATATTCCCTCTTCCTGTCCCTCCCCAGTAGCCCCTGTCCAAGGCACCAGGTTGGACACTGTGAGAGCAACCCTGGTGCTGGGCTGGCACAGGAATCCAGGCTCTGCATCAAATAATGGGAAATCAGCCTATCCCTTGAGTGAGGCTGACACATAATGATGGAGATTGGAAACTTCGGGTATACCCAAGCCAATCTCTATTAAGAGTTTGAGAGCTGGGCACTGGGAATATCTTTGAACCATTAAAGCAATGGCAAGAAAAAAACCATAGAATAATGTCAGGTTCTTTAATTTTTAGATTTTTAAATCTAAAATGTTCCCAGTATTACTTGAAAACTAGAAGCAGACGAAATTATCTGTCATATTATAGATAACTTGGCTGCAGAAATATGGCACTAGCATATGCTGAAAAGTAAAAGCTAACATGATTAGTAGACTATTAATTCTAGCATCAGACTTGCCTGCATGAGATCCATATGTACAGAAAATAGAGTCTTTGGAGCAAAGACAAGAGTCTCTGTGTATCTGTAAAGCAGGTGGAATAGGTCTGAGCATTAGACTAAAACTGTAAGATTGAAAAACTGGCAGTGGCCTTCAAAAATGTTTGCACATTTGAAGATCTGCCACAGACTTGTGCTTCTACTGAAGCTGGATGATATCCATATGTTTAATTCCACTGAGCTGGTTAGGCTAACTTGGATCTGGCATCCAGGTATGTCTATCCAAAAACTGGGTTTTCAAAGCATACTGCAGCTCCTGGAGTTCATAAAAGCTGTGATTGTAGTCAGTGCTCTTTGTAATGGAGTTTGCATGATAATGCATCAAACACTGGTCCCCAGATCCCCCAAGACTCTGGCTTTTTGCACTTACTGTTTCTTAAGTGCCTTAATTCAAAAACTGGAAATGCCACTTTCATCATTTATAAGGGGGATAAAAAAAGGACTTGATTACAGACTGTTAAAGACTAGATACCTGCTAGTATTGGATTAGCCCCACAGAACTGCAGTGGTTTTCATTTCCCAGGGAACATGAAGAAGAAATTGCATCCTGCTGAGTTTTGGCAACAATTTGACAGGGAAAAGTCCATAAAGAAAACTCTGTCAGCAAAGGT